CCGCTCGCTGCTGCACTGACAGTGTCGTCTTCTCCTCGCACGTGACACACGGCTAACGTCTGCCGGGCACAGGTGACCGCACTGCGCTGCCTTCGTGCTGAGAGGTCTGCAGGCTTCCGCTGGGAGGCCGGCTGGGGGAGGGGCGGCAAGGCCGGGAGGGCAGCGTACAGGCCGTTTCTTGAGGAGCGCAGCCGGCGGTGCAGCCACAGGGCCCACCAGGCCGACGGCAACACCCGAGGGGGTCTGGCAGGGCAGGTGGGGGCCCAGCAGCTGCAAGGGGGGGATCTCAGCCGTATCTAGAATCCAGAGGCTATCACTCTGTTTGGGGACGAGGAGTGGGGCTGAAATGGGATCCAGTTTGTGCAGGGGGGGTGACATGTGAGGGTAGCAACCAGCACGTGTCCAGACTGTGAGGACGTGGGTCGTATTTGGCGCAGACAAGGACACACTTGAAAACCTAAGGTTACACAGAGCTGGAGGCCTGAGCGCCAGCTCGGGGAGGGCAGGGAAACAGGGCATGGACGGGGGCGTCACACAGAGCTGGCGGCTTGCCCAGCGTGTGCACGTCTTGAAGATTATTCTGAGCACAGTGGATGCTGGATTCCAGCACAGCGAGATTAGTCCTGGCTCAGTGACCTGTCAGCATGGTTTGGACTAAGAAAGAAACGGGGCCGTTCCGGCTCTGAAGGTGACATTGATGTTGAAGGCGCAGGTGTGGGAGGAGACACTGCAGTTGGTGAGGAGCAGGGCCCCGAGAAGTTACATAACCGGCCAGCGCCGCACGGCGGGGTGGCAGGGCAGCCGGGACGGGCAGTGGGTGTCCCCCGCCCCCGTGTCCTTCAGCAAGTACAAGACGGCCCAGCTGGGATAACCAGGCTGCGGGGAGGCCGAGTCGCCTATGCTTCTCCCCAGAGCCAGCATGGGTATGTTCCGAACAAAGGCGAATCCTGCAGGGAGCTGCACAGAGAGGCTTTGCAGGGACCAGAGCTACGGACTCTGGAGGGCAGGGCCACACCCTCCTCTGGGGCTGCACCCGCAGTCTCCTGGGCTGCTTCTAGAACGATCCGCGATGCCATAAACCCACCACCCGCAGGGAGTTCCAGTCGAGTTGGCCTGCAGAGGCCCCAGGAAGCACGGGCACCGAGCGCCGTGAGCACCGCCACCATTCTCTGCTGTGTGCAAAGTTGGGGTGTCCTGGGCCACAGTCACCCAACCCTGCCGCTGCTTAGCCTGAGCCTTGCGTGGTCTCTGCTTCCATTTCCCTGGCTGTGAGACACCTGTAGGACGGCTGTGAGCACCGGAAGACAAGTAACATCGACTCCTGCACTGCCGCTGCCTAAAGAACGCTCAGACACCACCATGAGGACTCGGGGGCCGGGCCCTGCGGACGGGATCCAACTGTGACGGGCCCGGGGCTGCGTCACAGCATCTGAGATCCGTAAGGACCAGCAGGTTTTCTACTTCTCACGCCCAGGGAAGCCACATTTCTGCTCGTGACATTGCGGGAGGGGCTGGCCAGACGTGAGCTGAGACTTGTGAACCCCAGCACCGGAGAGCAGCCAGACGTGTCTCGGCCGTCCGTTCCTTACATGCCAGCACAGAGACGCATGAACTTGAAGGTAAGCCTGCGTCACTTTAAATTCCTAAGTCCACATGCTCGACCCAAAGCGTGATCAGGCCTGGTCCTCGGGTGGCGTGGAAGCCACTACTGTGCCCTGGGGCAGGGCTGGATGATCAGAGTAAGTGGCTCTTCAACCTGGCACAGCCCAGAGTCAGCCAGGCCTCAGGACCAGTGTCAGGGACCCCACCCCAGGCGCACGGGAACAGCCATGCGGAAGGTGGCATGGGCATGGCTTTCACAGGTGGACCAGGTTGGCTCTGGCTGCCGCCCACCACCCATCACAGGAGAGGTATGGGGAGCGCAAGGTGCAGCCTAGGCTCCTCACACCTCACCTGTGCACGGCCCCTGCAGCCCGGGCTCCTCACACCTCACCTGTGCAGGGCCCCTGCAGCCCAGGCTCCTCACACCTCACCTGTGCACAGTCCCTGCAGCCCGCGCTCCTCACACCTCACCTGTGCACGGCCCCTGCAGCCCGCGCTCCTCACACCTCACCTGTGCACGGCTGCTGCAGCCCGCGCTCCTCACACCTCACCTGTGCATGGCCCCTGCAGCCCGGGCTACTCACACCTCACCTGTGCACGGCCCCTGCAGCCCGCACTCCTCACACCTCACCTGTGCACGGCCCCTGCAGCCCGCGCTCCTCACACCTCACCTGTGCACGGCCCTGGCGGTGTGGCTACAATCTGAGTTCTGCTTCAGTGGGGGTCCTGGTGGGGCCTCAGGTTCTTCCTCCTTAGCAAACCCCCAGGTGAGGTCCCTGCCTATGCGGGGGCCGCCGTGGAGTGGCGAGGACCTGGGTGACATACGGTGGCTGGGAAGGATGTGGCCATGGGTAACATGGCCTCTTGAGCCCACTGGAAGGAAGACTCTCCAAGCACCTCAGTTCCATTCCTACCTAGGCAGAGCCTGACTGACGGCCGAGAGCTCCTGCCGGCAGATGACCCTGGAGTTGGCAGAAGGCGGAGGAACATTCCGCACCCCAACTGCTTTTGTTCCTAACGTGAAGGTGCCCAAGAGCCCGGCAGAGCCCGCAGGAGTGGTTCCCGCTCTGGCGTTTGCATCAACAACTTCACCCCCTGAAATCACGCCTCTAAGCCAGGAGACGGCCGACACGCTGTTCACGGGGACTGGCGGGGCCTGGAAGCCTGCTGCCCCAAAACGCTCCTGACAAAGGATGCTAGCTGCTCATCTCTGCGCCACCAAGAGCAGTCCCGAAACCCCACGGCTCCCGGAGGGGACCGGCAGCCACCGCACTGCGGCTCTGAGGCCGCGCCTTGGCCCACGCGGATGTGTTTGCTTTCCTCGGCAGGACCTGTCACAGTGAAACCAGGACACCATATGCTGGGTCTAAACGCCCAGTGTGTCCAGCAGCTCTTGGCCTCTTCGCCAGCTCTGAGGGGACACAGAGCGCAGAGAAGCCGAGAGAGAAGCACGGCTGTGCAGCCCACGCAGGAGTGTTCACAGCAATGGGGAGGGGCTGCACCCCAGCAGCGGGGACGCCACGGCCCCAGGGCGGGGGTCTGAGCCGCTCCCCGGCATCCTGTCCCGGCCCCGCCTGCCTGGCTCAAGAGCCACTGCACACGTGGTCTCTGAGAGCCGATGATGAGAATACTCATTCCTGCTGTCACCGTCGACGCTGTCTGGATGTCAGTGCAGCCCACGGGCCGGGTTTCAGAGCCTGACTGCTGACGCAGGCACTGCGGGGGACGTCACTCATGCCCCCTGGGGAACGGACAGCACTCAGGTGTCCGCTGTGTGGCAGCTCGGCACCACTTCCTGTGTTCTGCTGTTCCCAGAGAGGGAACCGCACCAGGGCGCCCTGGTGTTGTTGAAAAGGTGTCCCTACAGGGTGCAGTTCACAGCGGCAGGCAGGTGACAGACGCCTCGGGAGGGGGAGGCAGATGTAGCAGAAATAAACGAAGTTTCCCAACTGCACTTCTCAGACTCCACCGTGAGACGAGACGTGCTGTTCCGTGAGAACCACGGAATGCACGTGTGTGTCTGCAGCTACGGGGTTCACCCGTGCCCCAACGCCTCCCGCTCCCCACGAGGCGAGGCCTTCGACAGCGCCAGCGTCCCAGATCAGTCAGGCGCTCGGCCTCTACTGCGCGACAGTCAGGCAACGTCAGGGCTCGGAGGCAGCCACCGTCTCCTCACTGCACACCCAAGCAGGGTGGGGCCCGCACAACTTCACTCTGCTTCGACCAAATCAGATCAGGACGTGAACCACACCCAGGCCTGGGAGCCCCATGCTGTACTCCACGTTTAGTGCTTTTGACACTCACTTGAAGGCAAAAAAACTCTTGACTAAGCCAAACCCAACCCCCTGAAACCAGACTCGGATGCTCTGTCAGTCCTCAAAGGCCACAAGCCCTAGCAACGCCGTGGCCATGGCGTCCCCTGGCTCTTCCAGCGGGCCTGCGGGCAGTACTGGGGGAGTCACCTTTCAGCTATCCTACCAATGGCTACTTTCTGCTGGGCCTCTCAGCCGAGGCTTGAGATGGGAAAGGGGCAGTTAACAAGGTGTTTGCCAAATTCCAAAAAGGTCGCTCTTTTAACTGCATACAAAGCCAAAGAGAAAATGAGGCAGTAACAGAGACAGCAGATCGCGAACTAAACTCAGACCGAACTCTCAAGAGTGGCTACTGCATGACTCAGCGTGCGCGGTGGGGCTCCCCCGTAACCCTTAAACGGCGGGGCGGGAGAGCCCTGGCCAGTGACTGCGCGGAGCTCCAGGGGACAGAGGTCCTGGCTCAGGCCCATCTGATCTCACACATCAGAGCTCGTCCTCTGGCTGCCCACACGCGCCCACCCTTCTGTCCTTTGTGGACAAACCAGGGCAGCAAGCGAACTCCCCCTGCGTTCTGTGAGCCACTCCGGTGAATCACTGGGCCCTAGGGGGGCATTGTGGGGGCTCTCAGGCTGTCACCGGTTCGTCAGAAGTTCTGGGGGTCAGGGCCTTGGTGACAGGCTGAGCGTTTGCTGCTGTGGGATTCAACCTCTGGACACCGAGCTGGTGTCCAGCGAGCTGGAGAACTGGCCACGGAGCAGAAACACCCACGCACAGGTATCAGAAGTGTTCTCAGAGGTCCCTCCCCAGACCAGCAAGGCCGTGAACCAGGGCAGGGCCACCGCCCGCTGCCCCTCACGTTGTGACAAGCGCCGGCAGCGTGGTGACGCTGCTTTCCTGGAGCCAGGACTGTGATGGCCACGGTGTCCCCACCTGCGGCCAGGCAGCAGTGCTTTCCTGTCCTAATGAGATGAGCACGCACACGGGCTCTTCCCGGGCACGGACGGGCTTCGGGACTCTCTGCAGGACCCCGTGCCCTCAGCACACGCGACAGCAGTGGGCGGGGCGAGCAGCCCAGGGCAACAGTACCTCCAGAGTGGGGCGGCGGCGCACACAGCAGCACCATCCCCTGACCTCGGCGGACCGACACCGTGCTTCTTGTTCGCGTCCTGAAGTTCTCCAGGTCTGGGGAAGAAAGAAGAGAAAACGTCTTTGAACTTGAACGTGCTGAAATATCCCGGGACAGCGTCTGTGCCCAGAGGGTGCTTGGACGCCCGTGCCGCGTGCCCCCGACAGATACCGCCTGTGGCACAGCCGCTGTCACAGGCACCTCTCTAGGTGTACACTGTTAGAAGGACAGAAAGGTAGAATCCATTTCCTCAGACATACTGGCCACGTCTCAGGGGCCACCACGGGGGACAGCACACAGAACATTTCCAACAGTCTGGAAAATTCTACGGGATGGTGCAGCTGTAGATGACGAAACAGGTTTAAACGTGGAGAAGTGATTTCCCCAAGACGTCTCCGACATAGAGCAGCAGAATCAGGAGGCGTCGCCGGCTTCCTGACACCCCCAGACCACCGTGAGGCGGGCGGTTCCTGCTCCCTCCGCTTCAGAGCACCGTGTCCCTCTCACACGCGTGACATCGCCACAGATATGCACGTGGAGAATGCAGAACTGTTTTGAAAATCCTACGCATTTTTAGATATCTAGAAAGTACTGTTCCTGGTTCTTTGGGGAAGACATTCCTTTCCTTCAAGGAAACCAGTTCTGATTAGCGAGACGACATTGACAAAGCCAAAGGTCAGAGCTGGAGTCTGTAAACAAGCAGCTGCCAATAAAAACGGAGTTAACAGAAGAAACACGTCTAATAAAGTTACAGACGCATTATTGTTCAAAAAACACACCCCTTCTCCCACTCTCCCAGATGGAGAGGCTCTCAATAAGGGCTGCTTTAAGTGACGTCTCATTTCTCTTTTGTTCAATAACCGCACACTGAACGTGGGGACCACTGCAGCCGCTGAGTGCTGCACATGCTCCGTCTGCCCGCCCTCACCGGAGAGACAGTGCATGCTCCGTCTGCCCGCCCCCACCGGAGAGACAGTGCATGCTCCGTCTGCCCGCCCCCACCGCAGAGACAGTGCACGCTCCGCCTGCCCGCCCCCACCGCAGAGACAGCGCACGCTCCGTCTGGCAGCCCCCACCGGAGAGACAGTGCACGCTCCGTCTGCCCGCCCCCACCGCAGAGACAGTGCACGCTCCGTGTGGCCGCCCCCACCACAGAGACAGTGCACGCTCCGTCTGCCCGCCCCCACCACAGAGACAGTGCACGCTCCATCTGGCCGCCCCCACCGCAGAGACAGTGCACGCTCCGTCTGCCCGCCCCCACCGGAGAGACAGTGCACCCTCCGTCTGGCCGCCCCCACCGCAGAGACAGTGCACGCTCCGTGTGGCCGCCCCCACCGCAGAGACAGTGCACGCTCCATCTGCCCGCCCCCACCGCAGAGACAGTGCACGCCCTGTCTGGCCGCCCCCACCCACCGCAGAGACAGTGCAAGCTCCGTGTGGCTGCCGCCTCCACACCGGCTACTCTAGTGAGGGCCACGGGCGTCGTCTCATGGGTCCTCAACGTCAATTTCGAGCTGCGTGCCACTCAGAATTAGTGTTTCCCTGCTTCCCAGACTGCGTGATAATCCGCCCAGAGCTGCAACAGGCAGAGTGATGTAAGCAGGCGGGGGAGGTCAAACAGCACACACTTCCGGCAGGTGCAAAGTGGGACACTCGGGATACTAAAGAAGTGACGCCGTCTTCATTCCCAGTATCTTCTGGGATTGGGAAAATCTGAGTGTGTACATGATTGTTTTCATCACTTAACACACAAATACGACTTCCAGGGAGTGTCAGGCTCAGGCCGCAAACAGTGAGGACAGAGCTTGTGCGGGGTGGGGGGCAGCGTCTGAGAGGCAGAGCTGACAGGTGCCACCCACTGGGTCACGACGAGCCAGAGGCGGCCAGGGGCCAGGTGTGCGAAGGGCACACGAAGGGCACAGGCTCAGAACGCAGGGCTGGGATTTCCACTGCGTTTCTAATGTAATGGAGTCCTTTTAATTCGCCAGGAATCAGATAAAAGTGGAACATGGTGTTTTTCTTCTCTAAGGATACGGTCTGAGATGTCATCAGAAGGAATTAAACCAGAGATTTCCGAACTTTCTTACAGAATTAGTATTTTCGACTATTATCCCTAAAAGTGACACCGAATCTGAATTGTCACGCTGGCACACACACTCTTGGAGCAAGCTGTCTACTGTTTTGTACACCTACACCATCCAGCTTCCAGAGTTGCCTGAGAAATCAAAAGCCAAGAGATAATAGAGGTCAAATGTCCTATAGGGAAAGCCAACCTAGTTCCTGACTGCAGGAAGAATTTAAGAAACAGGAAAGAAAATGAGGAGATGTGTGGTGACTCTGAACTCGGCTTCCTGAGCTTGAAGACACGGATCCTGCCTCGTCCCTTCTGGTTCCTGGAATCACTCAGCTCTACAGGATCAGGGCAGCCCTCATCCAGGACAATATTCTGGCATTTGAGGAGATAATTTAACAACATCTCTTGGTAGTAACTGAATGGCTCCAGATGTCTACACAGCGAGCAGGAGGCTATGTCTGAGTCTGAGAACCGTCTCGGCCTCCATCAGATGTCCTGGCCTGGGTCAAGTCTTACTTTCATATCATGATTACAAAGAAGAATCATGATTTGTTTTAATATAAAAGTCACGTGCAAAGGCGTAAGTGAGATAATATTTGACAGAGATGAGGCCAACCAAGGCCTTTGTTGGTGCGAGACTGGTGCTTGGTATGCATTTGTTCTGTCCACTGGGGAGAGCCACAGGGCAGGGGCAAATCATAGCCCAACCAACCTATTAAAAGTGTTCTGGGGGCCAGTGCTGTGGCATAAAGGTTGGGACCGCCGCCTGCAGTGCCAGCATCCCATATGGGTACCAGCTGCTTCTCTTCCAGTCCAGCTCTCTGCTGTGGCCTGGGAGGGCAGTGGAGGATGGCCCAAGTCCTTGGCCTGGAAGAAGCTCCTGGTTTCAGATCGGCGTGGTTTTAGCCATTGCAACTGTCTGGGGAGTGAACCAGTGGGTGGAAGACTTCTCTCTCTGCCTCCACCTCTGCCTCTGCCTCTCAGACTGATAAATAAATCTTAGAACATAAAAGTGTTCTGAAAAGCAAACACACCCCAGAGCAAACGGGAGATGACACAGGATCTACATACACGTTTAGGGAAAGATCACAGGTCCGAGACCGGTCTTTCCAGACACAGCTGCCCATACTCCAACTGCTCGCACTGTGACAAATCCCATTTCAAAGCACCGTGTGTATGAATGGGTGTTCTGAGCTTTGTGCACTCTTGGCTGACCTCTGAGCAGCAACACTTGCCCATGTGTTATTGTATTTGCAGTTATTTTACCCTCAGAGCCTCGGTGTCTGGGTCCCCATCAGGAGTGGCAGGCATGAGATCATCGGAACACTAGATGGTGAACGCTGTCACCGGGACTGCCACACCCGCGGCAGCAGTGTCACTCACCTGCAGACTGTACTGGGCTCACAGGTGTTACACACTGTCCTTACACAGCCTCACTTGGCTCCATCACAGCCTGAATCCCCAAGTTCTAAGTCACTGAAGCTCCGAGAAATTCAACACCTTCCTCACCCAGGAAGGCCGCGGCCAGCGCCAGACCAGGGCACAGGCTCGGGCCTGTTCGCCACGGCGCTGTGCTGGGCAGCTCCAGAACCCGTGGCTCCCCACACACAGTGAAGTCAGCACAAAATTACATCTCAGCCCCGTGTCTGACGCCCAGGGCACCCAACAGGTTGGTCTGAAAGGATTACACACTCCTGAACACCCAGAGGACGCCCACATCTCAACCCACAAGGTGATGGATGGGTGCACTGCTTCCAAGTCTCACCCCTGCCTTTCCCTGTGGTCCAGCGCTTGAGGTTGGGGTTTTAAACATAAGACGCATGAGGACGAGCAGGGAGAAAGGACCAGCAGCAGCTCCCCGAGCCGCAGGCTGGTGGCCGACAAGCGCCCGTGGGTGGTGCAGCCTCTGGCTGCTGCCACTGGTGGTTAAAGAGACAGCTGATGCACGATGTAGATGCGCGGTTAGGAAGGATACCCGCGGGCCGCGGTTTCCCGGAACAGCTCGATCTGGCTCTGTGAGCGGTTCTGTAACATGGGCTGGGGAGACCTGAAATACACAGCCCTGCTTTCCAATGCTGGGTCCTTCACCAGCATCTTATACGATTTCCCCACAACCATGCGCTGAGGCAGGCTCGGTTTTGTGGCAGATACCATATCTTTCTATGAAAACAGTGTCCTTTATTCTCCCGTGGAATGGTACACCCGCATTTCATTTTGAGACAGACTAGAATATATGCTACAGCATTTGTTAGCTCACTGATCTGATACACGCTAAGCTGAAATACAAAAAAGGTATGAAAAAAACTGGACATGATCTCATTATTTTGCACCAGCATACACTTATCTTTTAATTCCATTTCCCCTCGATGTTTTGAAGTGCCCTCGTTGTTACAGTCCTGGGGACCTCCCGGCTCTGTGAGAGATTCAGCGGCTAAACTCCTGGAGGAGTCCAAGCGCATAAAGGCCTTAAAGCTGCGCCAGGTGATCAATAATGAAAAGCCGCAATAAAGGAAAACGTTTGGAATCCAGACCACAGGGTAAATCAGAGTGAGGGAGGCCTCTGCGTGGCCCTGCCTGGAGAGTTATGAAATCGTTTAGAGCCGGGGAAACTGCAGTGGGTAACAGATACCTGCATGCAGTCTAGAGAGAATAAAATCAGGAGGCGTCAGGATATGTTTTGAGAAGTAATAACGATAAATAAGAAAGAGTAATTTATTTAGGCCACGATTAAGGGGCTGGACTCCGCACGCAGACAGGAGAGCCGCAGCTGCTCGCAGGGTAAGAGCACCCAGAGGAAGGAGTTTGAAAACGGTCAGAAAGGTCAGTAAGGCGACGGAACACATCACAGCTCGGTCAAAGTCCACAGACAGGAGAGCGAAAGGAAAGGGGCAAACGATACAGAGAACCATGTGCTTTTGACTGCTCCTGTCACTTAATGCACATAAAAAATGCCAACTCCCTTTCCCTCACTTGGACAAACCT